TTTTTTTTGGTTTTTCTCCGGTACCGGGAACCGAACTCACGACCTTGCGCTTGCCAGGCAGGCGCTTTTGCCGCTGAGCTAAATCCCCAGCCCCTGTATTTTTTTTGAAGACAATTCTGCCATGGACTGGCCTCCAGAGAAACCTGAGTTGCCCGTTAGGCCACCCTTGTAAAGGGCAGCACCACGATCCCATGTTGTGAGCCCGAAGTTGTTCTGCTTGTTTGAGCATGTTAGCAATCTATTTCTTGGCATTTGTTACTTTTATCATAACACTTTTGGTACATTATTTAAAAAAAATACTTTGCTAAAAAAATACCTTGCTAGGCTCCTAATTAGGTGCATGTGCAAAGCCAAATATCTTTCTCTAAAATAAATTGCTACTGACTGAGAGGTTATTGAAATAATAGGAATATAAGTACACACTGGGAGACTATGGATGCACGCAGTGAGCATACCTTTGGCTTCTGGGAACATCACTGAAGAGTATGTTCACGATGTACAATCCCTGGACTTGATTAGACAGCCTGGTAAAAAAGAAAGGATGCTGAGATGAAAATCAGGAGTTCTTCGGGATGGGGCAAGCCATTCAGCTCCCTGAACCTTTTGTTCATCTATGAAGGAAGGAACTGCATTGGGAGTTCCTATGTTCTATGAATTTTGTGAGTGTTTCTTTAAAAAATAAACAAAAAAAACCATAGTGGTAAAGTGATTGGATACATTGGTGACCTTAGATGATAGAAAAGGCTTATTTCACTAGCATAATTACCTCTATAACTGCACACTTAAGGCTCCTATTTATCAGATATTTACTGTATGCCAAATGTTAAGCATTGCACTTGGAATATCTCATTTCATGCACCTTAATACCCCATGTTAAAGAAGAAAACAGAAGCTCAAGAGTTGAAGTATTTTCAACTTAAAAGGTATTTTATTTCTAACCCCATTCTGCTGGTACTGTTATGCTGTTTTATTTGGCTGATGAGCTTTAATTTCCTCTTTAGGAAAACCTGTCCTGTCTCATACGATTTGGGAAGGACAGTGGACTGAATATCTCATGTCTCTTCTCCCCTTCATCTTTCTTAGGCCACCTAGAGATTTAGACTCCAAGGCTTGCATTTCTATTGGAAATCAGGTGAGAAAAGTCTCCCTTCCCAGTTAACACCTTGGGCACTTTCTGTGGGTGCTTTCTGGCTGACCGCTGACAATTTTTTTTGTATGTGTAACATGCCCTTAGGGGATGGGTCAGAAAAGTTTGAAATTCAAGCAAAGTGGCTTTCCACGCTTTTGCTGTTCTGAATTGGGAATTGAAATCAGGCTGTTGTGGTCTTCAGGAAAGGTGTGAGTGGAGTCGATTCTGTGGGGAGGGCAGTTCTCAACACCACAGAGACCTAGCTGGCTTCAGTCAGTAATAGATTATACAGATAATGCACTTGAAAACTGGGTTGGATGGAGTTGGCTGTTAGTATTTGCCTGTGCCAAGGAAGTGGATATTATGGAACTCTAAGCATTTCCTGTGGCTTCAGGAACTACTTTTAGTAGTTGCTTTTGTTTGCTAAAAAAATCCTTTTTTTTGTTTTGATACTAGGTATCAAACTCAGGACCTTGTGCTTGCTAGGCAGGCACTTGTATCACTGAGCTGTATCCCCAGCCCACATGTGCTAGAAACTCTTGTGGCCTATCAAGAATCCTTATAACATTCGGAAAAATCAGACAACAAGATAGTGTCTGGTTTACTTTTTGCTTTTTTTTTTTTTTTTTTTGAGTACCGGGAATTGAACTCAGGACCTTGCACTTTCCAGGCAGACACTGCACCACTGAGCTACATCCCCAGCCCATACTTTTCACTTGTTTTATTGCATGATGACTTTTTTTTTCCTGCAGAACTTTGAGGTGAAGGCAGATGACCTGGAGCCGATAGTGGAACTGGGGCGAGGTGCATACGGAGTCGTGGAGAAGATGCGGCATGTACCCAGCGAGCAGATCATGGCAGTGAAGGTAGAGTCCATGTTCCCCCCCAGTATTTTCTACCAATGGTGTGCACATTTGTCTAATTCAACTCTAAACCAGCCTTTTTTATAGAAGCAAAGCAACCTTTAGTAGGTCAAAAAGAAAAGATTATTTGCAGGGAATAGCATTTCTCTAAGTAGGTGAAAAATACTTCCTTGGAATGTGTTGCTTCATCATTCATTCATTCATTCATTCATGCATTCAGGCATTCGTGCATTTATTCTGAACTTGCCAACCTTTGTCTCAGCTTTCCACAGTGCTGGGACTACAGGTGTGTGCAATCAGGTCTGGCTTTGTATTTGTTTTTTTCTAACTAAGTCCTATCCTCTCATTTTCATTTTTTGTGCAACTATCATGTCATCATCCTACTTAAAAGAATTACTAATCCTTTTTCAAAATTCATCTAATATTGATGTCTTGGTTACTTTTCTCTCATTGCTGAGACAAAATACCTGATGCCCAAAATTGAAAGGTTTATTTAGCACTCTGTTTGTGGAGGTTTCAGTCCATACTTGTCTGGCTCCAAGGCAGAGTCGTACATGGCTGAGGGCAGCAGTTCCTGGCAGAGAAAGACAGCAGAAGCAATAAGAGCAAAAGGGAGGAGTGGCAGCAAGCAGCCTCTTTCCCTCCCTTACATTGTATGCAAACTACCTGCCCCAGGGCAGGTGTAGCACTCACACCCATAATCCCAGCATTGGATTATGTATCAATCAAAAATCTAGAACAGAAGCCTACCCCATGACTGCATGAGACTTTGAGGGGACATGCAGTCACAAACCATAACAACTGGGTTTAAATTAAAATTTTCTAATTAGCTCCAAGCATCTTTGTCTATATTTTTTGCTGTTATTCTCCCTGAATCACTTCTCAGCTTTTTGGCTAAGGTCATGGGCAAAAGAATTTTCCCCGAAAATCAAGAAGCCAGAATTGAGAGACAGTTGTCTCTGTTCTGGACCAAGGAGACAGCTAGAGAAAATTTAAGGTTTTTTTGTGGACAGAGATCTGGAATCAGTGTGCATGTCTTGAGTGCATGCTGGAAGGATCTTAAAGAATTAACATCTTTAGATGAGTTAGCAGATCTGGGCCCTTGTCAGGAATGGCTGCAGACTTGGATCCTTTTGCTGTTGGAGAGTGGAGGTCTCTTCCTTTGCTCTTGTAGATTTTCCCTTCTGTTCTGCTAACTCTGCTAAATAGGTAAACCATGGGAAGAGCTGGTGACATTGTACGTTTCCTGTCAGGTGATGATATACTCACCTTTCTGGAAGGTTGTATTTGCCGTTGTGACGGGCTTTGCTTCACTCAGAAACACTCAGTAGAAATGAATGACTTCTCCATTTGTTTAACTCCTTCTAAGTCCTACAGCTGTACCAGTTCTATTACAGTTGCTATTTATTACATAGACCATTGGTCTCCATAACAATGCGTTCCATATCTGTAGACTCAACCAGCTGTGGATCAAAATACTTGAAAAAAAATTATCCAGAACATGTACCGAGTATTCTTTTTGTCATTAAACAATATAGCATAACAAGTATTTCCACAGGATTTACATTGTATTGCATACTATAAGTGAACTGATTTAAAGTGTACGGGAAGATAGTGCATAGGTTATGTGCAAATACAGTTATTTTGTATGAGACTTGAGAGTCCATAGAGTTTGGTATCTGGGGAGAAGGGGCAATTTCTGGAAATAATACCCAGGGATACAGAAGGCTCACTGTAGTCACTGTAGACCTTTGTGTTCCTAGAGGGGGCCTTCTGGCTTTTCTATCATTAAGACCCCAAATAAGCAGCAAAGTAATTAATACTATGACTTCTTTGCACCGAGCAGGTATAATACAGTGAACTAGGTTGTTTTTTCACTTTGGAAATACATTCCCAAACATTTCCCCACTCTCTAAAACAAACTATTAGTTTTCTTCTTACCAGGGACTATTCAGGAAACCAGATGACCGTAGTCTTTCTTATTTTAAATTTGTTACTATCATGTATGGTCAAAAAATAGGGTGAATATTTAAAAGTTTAAAGAATTACGGTAAAAGACACATTGCCGTCAATCACCTTTAATACACACCCCCTCATTTCCAATGTACTTATCCCGTTGTTCTTGCCACTCTCTGAAGCAGTTCCGAAAGTCCTCTTTCATGAGTGATTTAGGTGCATTGTCCTAGCTGCCTTAATGCCTGAATCGATTAAAAATATTTCATGGTCATTTTGACTTTGGGGTAGAGCCAGAAGTTGCACAGTGCCAGATCCAGTAAATAAGGTAGATGAGGACACACTGTAATGTTTTTATTTGACAGAAAGTGCTGTAAGTACTTAATCAATGAGGGATGATCATAAAAAAGTTAATGTTTAAATTAAGAACAATAACTACAGTGAAAGAACACTGCCATTAATCCTCAGAATACTCAAAATATGTCTCCTTGCTTTGGACACACTTATCCCCTTTTTTTTTTTTTTGGCAATATGTATCCTACTGGATAATTATTATTTTGCATTTATTCACTGTATCTTTTTTTTTTTTTTTTGATTTTTCCTTGCGCTTGCCAGGCAGGCGCTTTTGCCGCTGAGCTAAATCCCCAGCCTCTCACTGTATCTTTCAATCCGCCTTGTAGCACTGATTTGTGGAAGGTTCTAGCGGTTGTGAATCTTTGTATTGTTTTCAGGATGGGGCTCCTTGAAGCCCTTGCCTTATTGGCAGACTCATCCTCAGAGTGGCACCCATACATTTCTTGTGCTTTCTTATTCAGCGGATCCGGGCCACTGTGAATAGCCAGGAGCAGAAAAGGCTGTTGATGGATCTGGATGTCTCCATGAGAACAGTGGACTGTCCGTTTACCGTCACGTTCTATGGCGCACTTTTCCGGGAGGTAGGTGACCCTCCGGGGCAGAGTCCAAGGAGAACAATAGCTGAGGTTCTCTTGTCACATTCGTACCTGTTGGCTTGCTCTTTGGAGATAACCTTGCTTATGGATAAATTCCTCTGAGATCTCCAAGGAAAACTCTATTTCCTCGCAATACTCAAGAGTCAGTTCTTCAGGACAGGTAACTGGTTCTTCCCTTTCCCTTTTCCACCTTGTGTAATGACCGTTGAACTGATTGGCCTCCAGGGAGATGTGTGGATCTGCATGGAGCTCATGGATACGTCACTAGATAAATTCTACAAACAAGTTATTGATAAAGGCCAAACCATCCCAGAGGATATCCTAGGGAAGATAGCAGTTTCTGTGAGTATATCGTGTATCCGCAAGGGAATGGTGGGAATTCTTTGCCGTAGGTATCTTTGTATCTCTAGGAGGAAGAAATGTTCCACTGTGGGGTGGGGATAAATAAGTACCACTCTCTCCTGACCCCTTGTGGTGGATGTTTCCACTGACTTGGTTTGACCCTATCTTAATGTGTTTAAGCAGTTCATTCATTTGCAATGACTGCGGTCCCAGCATCTCCATTCTAATGTCTCTAGTGCCTTTAAAGCTTGATTTGTAGATTTTTCAAATGACTTCTTAGGATTAGCAGGCATAAAAAGAATCAAGAGAGAGAAAACAAGAAAGACTGCTACCTTAATGTCTACTGAGGTTCAGGAGAGTGAAGAGAAAAAGATTCTTGCAGCCAAACAGAAACAGGATAGATGAATAGGACACGGTCTATGCTCTAAGACACCATCCTCTCTGGTGGGTGGAGATCAGTTTGGGTAACTTCCTGTGTTATTTTCCTGGATGGGAACCTCAACTCTGAGAAAGTACCTTACCCTTTGACCTTAAGCTAGGGATAAGAAACCTGAATATACTTAACACTGAATTTCTTTTCAGTGATGGAGTGAATAAATCTACTTTTTTTTTTCTTACAGATTGTAAAAGCATTAGAACATTTACACAGTAAACTCTCTGTTATTCATCGGGGTAAGCATCCATGGTTGTAACTTTTTATAAGTTAATTTCTTTGGCCCAGAGACTCCCTCCCTCACTTCTCCTCGCCTGTATAGGTGGAAGTGGAAATGAGCTAGGCGAGAGAACTCAGGTCTTTCCTTTGGGACTGCATAGCAAACTATGTATGCAGTTGTGTTAGCATTCTGTGACTGTAAAAAAAAAAAAAAAAACCCTGAGATAATCAACTTATAAAGGAGAAAAGCTTATTTGGGCTTATAGTTTTGGTGTTTTCAGTCCGTGGTCTATTGGCTCTTTTGCTTTTGGGCTTGTGGAAATATGGTATATCATGGCAGGAGCACATGGCAGGAGCACATGGCAGAGGAAGCCCATTCACCTAATAGCAGGGATGAAAGAGAGAGGAAGAGACCAGGATCCCACAGTCCCCTTGAAGGGCATGCCTTCAGTGACCTAATATTCCTACTTGGGCCCAGTTCTTAACATTTTTCCACCACACCCCAGTAATGCCAAGCTGCCTTTGTGGTACACACAAGATCTAAATTGGCCAGGCATGATGCATACACCTGTAATGCCAGCACTCTGGAAGCTGAGGCAGCACCACCATAACTCTGAGCCCAGTCTGAGCAACATAGTGACTTAGTAAGCTCCTGTCACAAACAAACAAGCACCAAAAATATGGCTAAGGATGTAGCTCAGTGCTGTAAGTTCTATTTTCACAACACACACATACACACACACACACACAAAACCTCAAACTGAGCAATAGCTATTCTTTATCTTGGCTAAAGGCATAGGAACACATAGGCTTTATATGTTACCTAACTTCAGTATAACATACCTGTTACCAAACACAGCTGTGGGATGCTATTATTGATAGTTTTAGAGGATATAATAAAAATGTGCTTTGTATTAGCCATCACGCAGTAGCTTGTTAGAAGAGTGTACTCATCAGATAAATCAAAACATACATTTTAACAAGGTCCCCAGGTGATTCTTGCACACATCAAAGTGTGGAGAGCTTTAGAATAAATCAAACCCCTTTCATACTGCGGGAAGCTGCAGAGAATAGTTTGCCTCTCCTTTCTTTCCTTCCCTTCCTTATCCTTGGCTGGTTATCTCTTCCTCCACCCATTCGTCCTTCTACATGTCCATCCATTCCTCCAACCATTTATCTCTTGTAATCACTTCTAAAGTATTTTGAATATGGTATTTTAATGGATGTCCAGAATGATTATCTGACAAAATTGTTCTTATTAAAATTTTACATAGGAGGGGGCTGGGGGTTTAGCTCAGCGGCACAGTGCCTGCCTGGCAAGCGCAAGGTTGTGAGTTCGATTCCTGGTACCGGAAAAAAAAAAAAAAATTTACATAGGAATTCTTCATAGGGAAATAAGAGAAATATATAAAAACTATGAAAAAAAAACCCTTAGAAAAAGGAAAGTACCAAATATGGAAGTAGTATAGATAGAATGCAAAATAAAACATTGTTTATTATTGAAGCCCATTGCCAGGAAAAGCTTCTTGGAAGAAATACACTAGCCAAACCTTTGAGGTAACTAATGCAAAGTGTTGATTTCTAAGAGGTTGTTGTATTTTGGGTAATTCTTAAGTTTCGTGAGCCTGGACATAGTGTAAAATGCCTTGTGCAGTATGCCTAGTATTATCAGTATTAGTTGGTAGTTTTAAATACTAGAAAAGCAGATGGGTGGAAGCTGAGGATAAGAAAATGGGAAGGAGGGCTGGGGATTTAGCTCAGCGGCAAAAGCGCCTGCCTGGCAAGCGCAAGGTCATGAGTTCGGTTCCTGGTACCGGAGAAAAACAAAAAAACAAAAAAACAAACAAAAAAAAATTAAAAAAAGAAAATGGGAAGGACTCTAACTAGCAAAAAGAATATGAAATTCTTACAAATGTGCAGCTTCTTTTAAAGAGTTTATTTAAAAATTATGAAATATTGAATTCTTAAGGAATATATGTCATGTATAAAAATCAGCAAAATAAAACTCGTAACAGGAAGTTTAAGAGAAAAATTATAATGTGGCATTTTTATACAGTGGAGCATTACTTAGCTATGAAGAAAGATAAACTTGAGGCTTTTATAGGTAAATGACTGCAACTAGAGACCGTACTCATAAGTGAAATAAACCAGACCTGCATGTGTAAACATCATATTGTCTCCTTAGTGTAAGAAACCGAAAGAGTAAATAAAATCCAAAAGGTACAATAGATATTGTGAAAGGGAAAGAAACTGCTCAAAAGGAAAGAATAACTGGGATGGGGGAAAGGAGAAAAGAAAGAAGGGGAAAAATAATGTGTGTGTGTATATATATTCACACACACACAAGATAGTTAAGATAATTGTACTACTAATTCCTATTAGTTCATTGAAAGGAACAGTTAGTGCTTATATTGTTTGATCAATTTTGCATGCCAATATCTGGTAATCTGAACAAATACTTTGAAGATAACAGTGTGCAATATAGTGACCATTGTTAATTTCCTATCATTTTTTCTTCAAATTCTGTATTTTTTTTATCCTCTTGAAAAGAAAGGAAAGAGGGGCTGGGGATTTAGCTCAACAGCAAAGCGCCTGCCTGGCAAGCGCAAGGTCGTGAGTTCGGTTCCCGGTACCGGAGAAAAACCAAAAAAAAAAAAAAAAAAAAAAAAAGAAAGGAAAGAAATTTGTAAAGCTCCTAGACTAGCTTTTTTCTTTTTACCCTGTGTCTTTGATGAAAGTGTCACAAAGGGACAAAATGATCTGTCTTTGTTAATTCCACTACCCAGAGATGAGAGTGCTTTGTCTTTTCAGGCATGTGGGTAGGTGGGTGCTGTCATTTTAGTCTTCAGGGCTGATCTAAAATCATTAATACCCCTTCTTCCATGACCTGCGCTATGGTCTGGCAAACTTGGGTTTATAATGCATTACCTCATGCAAACTGCTGATGTATCTCCGGTAGAAGTTGCTATCAAAGCTTGCTGCTCTGACCATATTCCATGTATCTTTGCGTTACAATGCCTTTTGATTCTTCAGTCTCTTACCTACACATTAAATAAGCAGTAGATCATTCTTTCACTGGACGTATGACTCAGCAAAGTCATTCCTACCTACATGGGATCAATAAAGACGATTGCATAAGTAGAGGAAACAGTGCTTTTCATTTGAGGATTCACAACCCCACGGGACACAGGCAAAGCGTGAAGAAAAATGCAATTGAAAGCAGAAGGCAGTAGGGAACTGGGAATCAAAAAGTGTGGTTACTTTGTGTAGGGCAACTTGGGGAAAGGAAGGTAGAGGACAAGTGGCTATCTCAGGCCCTCTGGTGGTGGAGCTCTTCAAAGCAGGCTGGACTGACAGGATCCTGGTTGCGCTTGTTTCTAGATGTCAAGCCTTCGAATGTGCTGATTAATACCTTGGGCCAAGTGAAGATGTGTGACTTTGGAATCAGTGGCTACCTGGTGGACTCTGTTGCTAAAACAATTGACGCAGGTTGCAAGCCGTACATGGCCGTAAGTACAGCAGCCAGGGTGGCATCTCAGAAGGCACCTGCCTGTTAAACCAGGGCAGGAAAGAAGAAACAGCTGGAGGCAGATGGGACACTGGAATGTGGCTAAGACTTCAGGAATATTCTGAGCACTTTATAGTCTTACATATTTCCTGCTCCTTAGTCACTTGTTTCATATATTTTCTTTGTTCTTTGGGGTTGCTATAAGAAACTACCATTAACTAGGAGGCTTATAAGTTAACAGAAATTTATTTTTTTGGAGTTTTAGAGGCTGGGAAGAGTGTCTGCTGTTGAGGGCTCATTTCTCTAGTTCTTAAGTGGTGCATTCTTGCTGTGTCTCATGTGGTGGAAGCACTAGGGAATCTCTCTAGGGTATCTTTTATAAAGTCAGTAATGCCATTCACAAGGGCTCTACGCTGATCACCCGATAAAGACTCCATTTCCTATTATACACATAGTGATTAGATTTCAATATATGGAGTTTGGGTGATACAAACATTTATAGCATATGCATTTTTAAAAAAAATCAAGCAAAAGGGGTATTTTGTTTGAACATACATAAGAGAAATATATAAACCCTGCATAAAGTTTTCTACTCTGAGTTGCAAGTAAGTGTTACCTTCTTATCAGAGGCAGAAGAGTAAAAAGAATTTAAATTACCTGTGCAAGGTAGTTGAATTAGTCCTGAGTGAACCTCACAGCTATAAAGATTCGTTGCCATTGCCAGAGACCCTGGGAACGTGGAACTGGTACCCGGTTTTATTTGGAAATGGACTTACATTTGGAAATGAAAACCTTCCTATCTATGTTTAGCTAAAAGTTGCTCAGTTCTAGGAATATCAGATGGTAGCCTAGTAACCACCTTTTGGATTCTTTTTGCTGAGCTTGGACTGTTGGTGTTTTTCTCAAGGGTAATTTTAGAGGGCTAGAGTAGCTTTGTAATGTGTATCCTCTTTCTTCCTCACAGCAAAATTCAAATTCAAATTTGTTGTGAAGGGAATTGAGGCCATTACTTTCTCTAAGAAAAGATGAACATAGAAATAAAGAACAACCCATGGAGAGATGGCTATTTATTGTAGTTACATTGCCTCTCTGGCCTGGGAGGCTTGTTAACAGCTTAAAGCATCTCGCTTGGCAGCTGGTAATGTCCCCACTCCCACAGTCTTTATTGAGCTACAAATGTCATCTCAATTGTGTTTCCAGTGCCTCGGTTTTCTGTCTCCTTTCCAGCCTGAAAGAATAAACCCCGAGCTCAACCAGAAGGGATACAGCGTGAAGTCTGACATTTGGAGTCTGGGCATCACAATGGTAGGGTATGATGATCCTATGGGCCATGAGGTTCTGACCATGCAGCTGGATGGGTTAGGCGTAGGGACTAAAAAGCAAACGTCCTAAATGCTAGTCTTGGGAATCCTTTCCTGCCCCAGATGGCAGGTAACTTTTGAGTGAAAATCATTTTCTGTGTGAGTAGTAGAGATATTGAATCTGGAGTGGGAACACCAATGTTGCTCTTTTTTCAGTTGCTTCTTAGCAGTTGTATGCCCTTAAGGAACGTAGTCATGTGGTTATCTTTCTGTCCTAATCTAAGGAGAGCCCATCTCCCATGTGCCAGTGTAAGGAAGGAAATGTGTTCTCCAGAATCGCCTCCATTGAGTTTGACCCATTATGCATACACCCATTCTGAGAGGGTCTGCCTAGATTCTTTATAATTTAGATTAAATTCTTCCAGTTAAGGCAAGAAGCTTAAGCTTCACAAAGGGTGCTCATGTACCTGATGGGGTTGTATTATACAGGACATGCAGTTTGCCTCCCAGGATGTTTTTATGATAGAAGTCTTGGATGCTGAGGTCAAATATATCCTAAAGACATGATTTAAAAAAAATAGGATAATTTCCTTAGGCCCAGATCCCACGGGTGTATGATCAGTGATTCCTGACTTTGATGATCATAGATTTTCATTGTATCACCAAGATCTGGAAATTCTGACGTGGCTCTGTGTCCTTCTCAGGCTCAGCAGCTGACTAAATTCTGTGACTTATTTCATGTCCCCGTTCAGAAAATACATGGTCTTGTAAGGACAAACTGGCCTTTATTCAAATCCAAAAAAGATAGTCTTCTGGTCCTAGGCTACTTTTTTCTTCCCAATTTTCCATTTCAACAAGGGACCTGCAGGTGGCAGCAGAGGCACAGCTCTGCAAGAGTCGGGTATGAATTTCTGCTCAGGCCAAACCTTGTAAAACCTGGTTGCTGTACATCCTCACTGAAGTTTAATACTTTTGGCTTACAGTTTTTATGAAGTAGCATGCTGGGTTGTAGTGAGAGGATGAGTTTTAGGTAGGTTTAAATGGCTGTCCCCAGTAAGAGAATATTTAACATGCTCTAGCACTAGCAATTGGGCAAAAATTTCTGGAGAATGGGTTATTTGTTTATTTTTGGTCCTCAGATAATACTTGGACTTCAGCTCTGTATTTCCCTCTGGTTCTTCTAGAATGAAACACAGCGGTTCTTGCCGGCAGCCTTGTTTAAAGTGTTGCTTTCGTATCTCTCACTTCTAGATTGAACTGGCCATCCTTCGCTTTCCCTACGATTCCTGGGGGACACCCTTTCAACAGCTCAAACAGGTGGTAGAAGAGCCATCACCCCAACTCCCAGCAGACAAGTTCTCCGCAGAGTTTGTTGACTTTACCTCACAGTGGTAAGACAGCCCCGTGTCCCATGCATAAGCGCTGAGAAGGGGATGTGTGCTCATGAGCTCCTTCCACTGGGTTTGATCCATCACGCATGCATTCATTCATTCCGAGAGTGTTTATGGGATACACTCTGTATGGTGGAGAACGTGATGTCCGTATCACCATCGCTGAGCTCCAAGTGAAGTTAGGGTGTTTCGTCAATCAGTTCTTAGAGTACAGTGTCGCAACACGGCGAGTGCAGGGATGGAGATGTGTGTAGGGTATTTGGGGAATTCAGCAAAGGCATCTATGTAGATGTCTCTGGAGGAAATAAATCGTGAGCTGAGATCCTGAGAGGTGTCTTCCAAACAAAAGGGAAGTGGGGGAGGAAAGCTGTTCCCAACAGAAGAAATATAAGCCAGAGGGCCACAAAAGCAAGAAGCTCTTCCATGAGAGTTGTAGGCAATGTGATTCGGTTGGAGCATAAAGAGAATGGGGAATAGACATAAAGAATTATTCTGGGTAAGAAGTTCAAGAATGCAACTTAGGTACCAGAAGTCTTGCAGAACCGTGGCTTCTACTGAACACTGTAACTGCAGATAAACTTGCTCCCTAGGGCATCGTAGACAATGATGGGATTCTGGGAAGAGAATGTTTGGAGTCGGAAGTGAGTCAGAGACATAGTAAGGTGGCTACCTTTGTTTTCCTAGAAGTGCCAGGGCCCTAGCTGGATGTGGTGGCACACGCCCTAATCGCAGCACTTGGGAGGCTGAGGAGAGGGTTGTGTGAGTTTGAAGCCAGCCTGGGCTACGTAAGCGAGTTCTAGGCCAACCTGCACTTCATAGTGAGGCCTCAGAAGAACCAGAAAAGGAACTGCCAGGTTCCTTCAGGAAAGTAAGGGGGAATTGTATGCTCCAGACTACAAAATCGTATCTGCCTGCATTGGGGCCATGAGGGTTACCATGTCTTGGTAGTAGCGACCCTTGCAAGGCTGGTGGAAAGAAGATGGCAAATGTGAATCACAGAATGCAACTGAGCTAGTTCCTCTGGGCGTCTTATAAAACTACATAATAATTGGGAGGAAGTATGGAGTCAGAGATGGTGGCAACCCTGCTGTGTTGGAGGGCAGCAACTCTGACTATCATTACCATGGAAGGTCCTGGGGCTCTGAAGACGTCTTGGGACACGAAACAGCTAACATGACACCTTCATCATCATAGCATCCCTTTGGCCTCCATACACTGTGGGTGAAAGTTTTCTGAGTACAGCTCAGATTGGCAACATGGTGAGACATAGCAGCTTCCTGTTGCTTAGGAAACTAAGTCCTCTTGGACTTTTTAGTACACCTGGGCCCCTTCTCCACCTTGGTGCTTTCTCCTAGTGACTTCAGATGCTGTACCACAGTGGGATTCTTTGCTGTTGTTTGTTTTCTTTTTGTTTTTGGCTGAATGGCCAGAGAAAATCTGTGGCAATTAGCTTTACTACCATGTTGTTGAATGTCTCTATAATATATATCTTCTGAGATCCCGAGTTGAAGCCCCAGTCTGTTTCCTCCAGCGAGTGTGCTGGTTCAGTGTTGCATCTGTGCTATGGTTTGTGTCTGTGTGTCCCCCCCAAAGCCTCGTGCGGTCATGGGGCAGGCTTTTAAAGTTTGATTGATTATGAGTGTGAGAGCTACACCCACCCTGGGGTGGATAATTTGCATATGTAAGGGAGAGGAAGAGGCTGCTTGAGGCCATTCCTCCTTTTTAGTGTTTGTTGCTTTTGCTGTGTTCTGCCGCTTTGAGCTGTAGCCCTCTGCCATGTGCCACTCTGCCTTGTAACCTGCCAAGTATGGACTGAAACCTCCACAAACTGTACGTGAAATAAACCTTTCCTTCCTTAATTTTGGGCCTCAGGTATTTTGTCCCAGCAATGAGAGAAAAGTAACCAAGACAATCTGCTGTGTTGAAGTAGGCTCACGAATTTGGTTTGGCTTCTGTGTTCCAGCACTCCATTTCTGCTGTTGTTCAGTTTGACTATTTTGCTTTATACTTAAACAGTGCGAGGTCACATAGGAAAAGGGAGGTGTCATCTTGCATACTTCAGACCAGTAGTTCTCAGGAGGGGTGGTAATAGCGAAGGATCTCACCGAGGAGGGCTCTCTACAAGGTAGCTTCCTTCGTGTCATCCTCCTCCCACTTGTCCCCCGCTTCCCAGGGTTCTGGGTACTTCAAGAAACTTTGGTCAGAATGAACGTAGTGTAAGAAGTTTGAGAATGTGGAGTTTCCTGTTGTGAATCACTAGTTTCAACCAGATCCAATGGTCCTCACCTCTGCCTGCTCATTCATAAAACTCTAGCAAGCCCGCGAATGTACGGTCTCTGAGGAGACCTCTCACCCTCACCCCCTGAGAGATTTGAGTTCAGTTAGTTCAAGGAGAGGCCAGAATTTCAGTGTTTTTCAGATCTGCTCAAGTTATCCTAATGGACTTCCAATGCCCTTTTTAATATGGCTCATGAGAGCATGGGTTTAGACAGAGGATCTACGGACCAGATGCCAACTGTTTGGAATGCTTCTGATTTTTGCAGTTTGTTTTTTTTTTTTTTAAAAAAAAAAATCATTCAATTACTTTACTTTTCTTTGACCAATGCATTTCTTTCATCTTATTTAAAATTTTACCAAAGTATCAAAGCAGTGAAGTATGTTACAAAAATTTTAAAAATGAAGACATTGGGGCTAGAGGAGTGCCTCAGTGCTAGAACACCTGAGTAGCGTGTGCAAGTCCCTGGATTCAGTTCTCAGCATAAAAACAAAGGAATCTCCCAAAGTGAAAACAATAACTTTTGAGAGAAAAATGTTTTCTCCTTTTTTTTTTTTTTTTTTTTTTGAGACAGGGTTTCACTATGTAGTTCAGGCAGCCTTGAACTCACTTTGTAGCCCAGGCTGGCCTCAAACTCAC